CCCCTGATATTGAGGGATAGAGAGAAGATGGCTTCTCCTTCCCCACCTTACACCTCGACCTCTCCACCTCCTCCTATTAATAGGATTTTCTTTTTCCTTCAGAATCAGAGTTGGTGGGGGAGAAAGGTAGGAGAAGAGAGAGGTTGGGGCAAGATAATCCTTAAGGTCTGTTATGTGACTACTGGTAAGGGTCATGAAGTGCTGTTCTCTGGTCTTGGTGGATGCTTAATGCTGGTACTTTCTATTACAGGTGCTCTCAAAGGTTCTTTGTTTTTGTTTAAAGATTTTTTTGATGTGGACCATTTTTAAAGTCTTTATTGAATTTGTTACAATATTGCTTCTTTTTTTATGTTTTGTTTTTGTTTTTTTTTGGCTGCAAGGCATGTGGGATCTTAGCTCCCTGACCAGGGATCGAACCCACACCCCCTGCATTGGAAGGTGAAGTCTTAACTACTGGACCGCCAGGGAAGTCCCTTATGGGTTCTTTGGAACCTCTCCCTCCTCCAGCTTCCTTACTTTCCCAGCATCCCTTCCCTTGCCTCAACCAATAACTGAGGATTTCTATTTTTCTTCGGGCTGGCTATTTCCTGCTCACTCAGCCCTAGAAATCTGGTGATACAGCCAGTTTCTCTCTGGTGAGTCTGTTCTTACTTTGGGTAGCTTTCTAGGTCAAGACCTAAGATGACCCCAGATAATTGCTCTTTTGCTTATTTCACTACATCTGGTCCAATGGAAACTTTCATGCCCTCATTGCCTACTGTTCCCCCTCATCCCCGCTACCCTACTTCAATAAATTCTGGGTCTACATACTGATCTTAGTTCAGCAACAACTATTTCACTCTTCTACAAAGGAACTTGTCAGCCCACCTCTTATACTTTAGATTTCCAAGCAAGAATCAGGCATCAGTCCACTGTATCCCCTAAATAGATAAGAACATATATTGAATCCTTCCAATTGTTGCTTTAAAACTCTGTCTCTTGACTTGAGGCAGAGGGTAATACCACACCTCCCCCTATAGATCTCTCCAAAAATTCTCCTCACTTTTCTCAACTCTTCCTAACTTTTTAAAGACGTGCTGTCATCTCAGGTGCTGTAAAATTAATTTTTTTGCCACCTTAATTTTTTTAGTCCTTTTTAAAAAAATGAAACCTTCACAACTTAGCCTTTTATTTTATTTATTTACATTATTATTTATTTTTTGCTGCTTTGGGTCTTAATTGCTGTGTGCGGGCTTTCTCTAGTTGTGGCAGGCGGGGGCTTCTCATTGCGGTGGCTTCTCGTTGTGGGGCACGGGTTCTAGGAGCGCAGGCTTCAGTAGTTGCAGCACACAGGCTCAGTAGTTGTGGCTCGCAGGCTCTAGAGCGCAGGCTCAGTTGTTGTGGCGCACGGGCTTAGTTGCTCCGCGGCATGTGGGATCTTCCCTGACCAGGGATCGAACCTGTGTCTCCTGCATTGGCAGGCGGATTCCTAACTGGGAAGTCCTCCATCCTAATTTTTTCAAGTCTCACTTTGAATTGTAGCATCTATTATTTTCATGCTTTAGTCAAAACAGAGATAGAGAATCCCATTTTAATATCCAGTTACATATCTATATTATAACAATGTTTAAGTAGGAATTATTATTTTTTGGATCATTATATTTTTATAGTGGGGAGATCACTTTAGCTGCTTTCTCCAGAAAGGGGCAGTACATCTTTTCCCACTGCTGCCCAAGAAGCCATGGTGGTATCAACACTGATTGGTGAAACTGAAGACAGCTCATATCCTATGTGCCACTTCCCATGTATTGGTGGGTCAGAGTTCTCTGCCTAAACAACTTCTAGACTAAACTATTTTCCTCTTGGACACACATGTCCTTAAAATCCCCATGGGGAGGGACTTCCCTGGTGGCACAGTAGTTAAGCATCCGCCTACCAATGCAGGGGACATGGGTTCGAGCCCTGGTCCGGGAAGACCCCACATGCTGTGGAGCAACTAAGCATATGCACCACAACTACCGAGCCTGCACTCTAGAGCCCGTGAGCCACAACTACTGAGCCCACATGCCACAACTATGGAAGCCCGCATGCCTAGAGCCCATGCTCCGCAAAAGAGAAGCCACCGCAATGAGAAGCTCACGCATTGCAACCAAGAGTAGCCCCTGCTCACCGCAACTAGAAAAAGCCCACGCGCAGCAATGAAGACCCAAAGCAGCTAAAAAAAATAATAAATAAAATGAATAAATAAATAAATGTATTAAAAAAATTCCCCTTGGGGAGAGTTTCTTTTATCACTGTGTTAGGTTGTTAAACCATAATAGGAGATAGGAAGTCCCACTGTGCTCTTTAATTTAGTTGCTACTAGACAGCTCTACCTAAAGGAATATATTTGTGCTTAGGTTCTTGGCTAGGACTCTGCATGGAAGAAATGTTAACTAACATTCTGAAACAAACTCTTCACATTGATAGAGTGTGGTCTAACTTTTGGTGGGTAAGAAAAATAATTTTTTCTGCACAATAATTCAGTATCTCTCACAATAATTTGAAATAAGTAGAAACTCTGCTGACATTTTCTTTGGACACCAGTGCTCTTTGAGGAATACAATCAAAGTGCTGAACAAGCACAGAGATGGGAACATCAAGTCCGTAACCAATGAACAAAAGGGTGGATAGCATTACAGTCAGAGAGTTTAGCTGGAACAAAAACACATCACACAGGGAAATACATCAGAGGGCTGTTTCACGGTGGGCTCAGTAGAGAAAGAGCACAGAGTACATAATGGGCATTGTCAAGTGTTGTTAAGCTTGTTTGGACTGAGATTTTAAGGACCCTTAAATTCCATGTTAAGAAGCTTGAACTAATTCTCATGGGTAAAGAGAATCTAAGGCTTGGGCAAATATATGGAAACAAATGAGAGTCTCTGAAAGGAGTGATGTGTACAAGGATGTTATCTTAATCTCAGAACACCGGAAGGGTGGAATGTCATCAGTGTGGACAACAGAACAAGGAATGGATTTTAGCAGTAATGTTTCTTGCTACAATCCACTGCGGGATACCCCTAGGGTTGAAAATACGCATGAGAATCTTTTTAAAATTTATCCTGCGTGGTTGATGAGTAGATTAGTAATTGTTACCATTTATTACATTCCTACCGTGTGTCCTAGAAATAATTACCAATCCTCACAAAGCTATATGTCATTCTCATGTTTCCTTTATAGATGAGGAAACAGGTACTCAGAGCAGTTAAGAAAGGAGTCCAAGTTTCCAGAACCAGGACTGCAACCTGGTATGGTCTAATGTTCTTTCTGGGTAGACAGACTGATGAACTGCTTCCTCTCTGCTCCCCTCAATTTTGAAGTCACTGAAACAATTGGAAACAGGCTTAACTTAATTCTGTTCCTTAGAATGCTAATAAAGGTGTGGTTAGGGAAGCGGACTTGCACTATTACCTGATTACTCTGTAGTACAATAAAACGTGCACTGTAAGTTTACAAGTCTGTATCGATTGTATCCCATGGTAGCAAAAACTGCACGGCTCTGAGTGTGGTGGGAGAAACTAATGAAAGAGACACAGTGAGGAAATGGATGTTGGGTCAAAACACCATCTCTGGCCACATTCCCTAGATTTCTGCAAGTTGATGGTAGAAAGTGCCCTAGTGGATGGGGTCAGACCTAACAGTCTGACATAACAGAGAATCATAGGAAATGCTGTTTTGTGAACACTTCTATCTACTCTTTTTCCTAACTGACTTTGGAGAAAAATATTTAGCTGTGTATAGAAATCACACTCACATTTTCTAGCCAAAAACTGACCCATAAAAACTGAGAAAAAGAGAGAAAAAAATTCAAGAACATATTAACTCTCTCTGAAACCAAGATCAGATAGTCACTACTTTTTGTCTATCTGGTATTCTCTCCCGTGACTAATTGACAGTGAGTAAAATCTGTAATTTATTACTAATTGGTCATCATGCTTCTCGTAGGCTTCTACCTCCCCCATTCTTGGCTGTTCATACTTTGCTATATTTTATTTTTCTGCCCAGTTTTCCTCCTTTTAAAGGATGATGTTTACAACTTTCCTCTTTATTTATTTGTGTATTTTGTTGTTGTTGTTGTTGTTATTGTTTCTGCGGTACGCGGGCCTCTCACTGCTGTGGCCTCTCCCGTTGCGGAGCACAGGCTCCGGATGCGCAGGCTCAGCGGTCATGGCTCACGGGCCCAGCCGCTCTGCGGCATGTGGGATCTTCCCAGACCGGGGCACGAACCCGTGTCCCCTGCATCGGCAGGCAGACTCTCAACCACTGCACCACCAGGGAAACCCTATTTGTGTATTTATTTTTTACCAAGTCTCTTCTGGAGAAGCCCACACACAATTCTCACTACACTTCATAAGTTGTTCAGGTAGAAATGTCACTTGCTAGGGGTGCTCTTTGCCCTCCACGCTGGGATGCTAAAGTACTTTGCAGTGACTGTCATCAGAGGAAAAGTTGAAAAGTTATTCTAGTCCCTCTTCCCCTCAAAACCTTGAGACAACAAGAATTAAGGCATATGGAATATGAAAGTACTTTGGCATGACAAGTAGGGATGAAAGGTATTTAAATATTGGATATAAATATAGTTATTAGTAAAAAGAATCAGTTCCTGCTTTAGATAAATATGAATAAAATAAGCACAAGGTTATATATTTTGTTGCAAAATACATTAAACTGCTTTTAACTATATAAAAACTGTAAATGCATTTACAAAATTAGCTAGACTCTAAGTTAGAAGCAGGTGAGAGTTTTCTTCTGTCAAGGTACTAGAATAAGACTATAAAAGTGAATAGTGTCAAAGTATGTACAAACTCAGTGGCTCACATAAATCACTTTTTGATCTATGTGCTTGGTTACAAGACATTCCCCATTTTGGGAGTTTGTTGCAATCTTCTTTGTGGGTACGGAAAATATTTTTTCCTACAAATAATTCAATATCTCTCACAAAAGTCTGAGATAAATGAAAACTTTGTTGATATTTTCTTCAGGCAGATGTAAAATTGTTTCTGCTAAGCACTGCTACCTTCTGCAACTGAAAGCTTTCCTTGGAAATTCTTCTCAGCGAGGGCTCCCTTCTGCCATCAAAACAATGTCCTTTCCATGCACCTTGAGAAGCGCAGCTCAGCCACTGGACACCTGGGACCGTTTCAAAGTTCAGCCCAGTCAACCTTAAGAAGGTCAGTCAATGATTGGAGGATGCTGGCGGAAGGTGAGGGCGGGATTTGCAATTTGACCACAGCCCTGGCAAGTATGACTCAGTTTCTAATGGCAACAAGCTCAGCGCTTCTCTGTGGGGCAGCTTCATAATTAAACGTTAAAATCAAAGTGCTTTTCTATGAAGGAGTACACTCTCCTTTCCAAATCCTAGTTTAATATTCGTCTTCAGAGCTCACAGCTTAGTAGAAAAGTCAGCCTTGAGATTCTGCACACTTAAGCAGGTGGTATGTGATTAAGATGCTGCCTTGGTGGCAAGACTGAAATTCAGTGCTTTTGTTTGCCGTATATGTGGTTTATGAATCTGGGCAATCGGATCTCTGTATTCCCTCCATGTTAACACTACACATTATCGTCAGTGTTTCCTGTGGAGTCATCCTGCAGGAGTTGGTTGAAGCATGCTGATGGTCTGAGGTTCCCTAGGGCTACAGGGTGACAGTGTTAAGATCTTGGCACCTCAGTGTGATGGAGGTGACTCTCCTGAGAGGCGGTGTGATACAAACTGACATCTCTGGGTGACTGAACAACAGCATGTGCAGAAAAGGAAAATACAAGAATAATGACATCATGGAGGAGGAGAAAAAGTGAACCAAAGAATAGAAATGAACCGAAGAACCAAAAATGAGTAGGAAGGGTAATGACACAGTGATGAGTCCCAGAGGTTGGGGACCTTCATGATGATTTGAATTCAGTTCCTGAATTCTGTGTGACTGAGGGTGAGGAATTTAATTTCTCCGGGTCACAGTTTCCCTCCTGGGTGTGTTTTGATTGTATGATTCATATGGTATTTTATAATTCTAACATCCTAGTATCCTATTGTCTCTACACTCATATTTTGACTTTCAGTATGTTCGTAGAGTTTATTACGGCAAAACACAAGTGTGCTTGATTCTTGATGATATATTATAATGATTTAACAAGAACATTAGTTTAAAAGTGGCCAATAAAAGGCTTAAAATTCACAAAATTCTTCTGCCTTAAAAACAATATGCACGTTAGTTCCCAACCTAACCTACTGGAGATTCCAGAGGAAACACAGACTACAACCTGCACAGAAAAATCCTACCTGTGTAAATCATCTACACCAGCTAGAAAGTATCTTCCCAAAACTCAAGACTATATTGTTTCAATACTTACTATTTCCAATGGTTATTTCATGGATATTATACCATTAACAAGATGTTTTCCTCTGATTAATAAAACTACTAGGAAGATATTATTGGCATAATCCAAAACTTTTGTGAAAGCCTTGTAGCTTTTATCTGCTGCCATACTTTGGAAAAGAACAAAACAAGTAAAAATGCAAATAAGTCCAATGGAATAACCCAAGAGTCTTGCATTAATAAATTAGAAAAATCAATGCTTCCAGACAAGGCATAAACTAAAGAGTCACACTACATTTCCACGCAGACACTCCTTCACAGGGTGTTTTGAGTTTTTATTAATTAAAAAGAGAGCATATGTTAGAGAGTAGACCAAGCATTAGGCTAGAAGTCAGGGGAATTTGGATTTTATTTTGGATTATTCCATTTTTTTTTTTTTTTTTTTTACTCTATGACTTTCTCCGCTCTTAAGCCTTGTGCCTCTATTTCCATATCTGTTAAAATGAGGATAATGATATTCACTTGATCAATGTGAGATTAAATTATAGACTTGAAAAGTGCTAAAGACTATGTATTCCCAGTAAAAATACATGATTCTTGGTATTTCAATGAGACTGAAGGCTTTAGCAAAAATATAATCTTTAAGCCTCCCTAAAAGTCTTGTTAGTTTCTCAGAGCCCTGAAAAATGCTCATGTCTGCCTATGATCTTGTTGCAGATAGACCTAACCTTTATGCCCCCGGGTCATCCAGCTGACCTGGGCCGTTTGGTCACACAAAGAGGCTGAATGCCAGGTGAGAAAATCCGGGGTTGGCAAATCGTTAAAACAGACTCAGAAAGAAAAAGTCTTAGAAGAGGATGTGAGAGTGTTGTTTTTCCAAATGTAACCCTCAGGCACTGCGGAATAAGCCTCTTTTCTCAGAGAACAAATGTAAAGAAGTGTGATGCTTCTTGTGGAACACAGAGTTCCCAGGATGGTGAGTCAATTGGCTCACTCTGCTCAGGTGATCCCTTTGTTAGTGTGGAGAACTCCATCCTCACCTTGAAGATAATGGGACCACAGCCCAGTCTTCCTTTTCCATTTATGGGATAAGAAACTCAGAGACTGAGGCTCTGTTCCTTCTGGCTGTGAAGGAATTAGAAGTTCCTTCTAATTCATCCTTCCCCAACAAAAGAGTGATCCTATATCTCTGAGCCTGGTAAGCAATGGCAGCTTTGGAGGCCAGGGGAGGGCCTTTCAGAGGGAATATGATTGAAGGCAGGATGTGGGTAAGGGGCCTTTGCCCCACTCCTGTGGTCTCAGCTGTCAGATATACTATGAAGCCCATGAGAATGATGGGCTTCACAGTATATTTAGAATATGTCATAGAATTATCCAACATCTGTACTTGAAAGTGTAAATATGTTTATTTTCACCCATTATGAATATGACCTTTTAGGTAAGCCCAAACTCCCTGAAATGTGACATACTACATTCATTCATTCCATTGTCATGGTCATGAGATCAGAGGTTTATGAAAGTCCCTCTCAACTCATCAACTTTCTCCTCTATGGAGGAGGACAAGTTACCGCATACATCAATCTTCGTGGGGTTCATGATTTTTCTTGTGGGCATGTGAGGTCCACTTCTGACCCCCTTAACACTTTTATAAGATCAAACATGTGTCGCCAGCCCTACCTGATATTTTTCACACCATGGAGAATTTGGCTTCTTGTTAATTGCATCTGTAGTCTCAAATCTCTTTATAGAATCTTCCCTAAGTGATATTAATAGCAATGGTGGTTCTTTGTTAATAATGCATAATAACAATAGCTCTCATTAACACAACATCAATTAAGTTAGAGAATGGTTAGTGTTGTGGTTAGAAAATGGGCCTGTAGACATCAATACTGCTAAAGTCATTTATTATTTCCCTCATAAAACAGAAGTAAATATAATGACTGGCTAAGATGGTAATGAAATTCCATTCCAATTGCATAACTGCAGACTGGTGTTTTTATTTGTGGGAGAGTCTTCTTGGTGATGTTGTGTGATGGGGCATCCCCAGGAGAAAGAACAGAAAACAAAGGATTTCTTCATGATGTCCCTGCATGTCCTGTGGTTTTGTTTCATTCTTCCCAGGCTGGAGTTAGCATCAGTTAGCAGAAATGTGAGCAGGGGGCTGGTTCCTCGTCCTGACTCTGTTACCTAATGCCCTGGACTACATGACAACTTCCTTGGACCTCAGTTTTTCTCATCTGTGACATGGGTGAAATTATATCTATTTGGCAGAAATTTCATTTAGCTTGCAAGTAAAACTGCACCTAATGATGCTTTTTAAAGTGCTCAAAAAGAATTATAAACACTCCCTGATAATGCTCAGCCAAGCCCTGAAGCAGGTTACTTCCTTGGTGCGTTCACACCTCTGCTCCCAATTCAGATGCCCAGAGTCAATAAGTTTTCTTCTTAGGCACAGGGAGCCTCCTGTGCACATTCAAGCTCAGCTCCCCCAAGACTCTAGCTCCCTCTTTCCACCTTCTAAAAGGTAACAGAAGATGAATGTGATTATATGATTAACAGGTTCATCGTAAGATGTGGAGTGTTGATAACGGAGTCGTGTTATTTCTTCCCTTTCTTTTTTTTTCCTTTTTTTTTTTTTTTCGGTACGCGGGCCTCTCACTGCTGTGGCCTCTCCCGCTGCGGGGCACAGGCTCGGGACGCACAGGCTCAGCGGCATGGCCCACGGGCCCAGCCGCTCCGCGGCATGTGGGATCTTCCCAGACCGGGGCACGAACCCGTGTCCCCTGCATCGGCAGGCGGACTCTCAACCACGGCGCCACCAGGGAAGCCCTATTTCTTCCCTTTCCTCTCTCCCTCCTCTCTCTTCTCTTTCCCTTCTAAGTGGGTATGTCACACCAAAATGGATGTGAGTTGATATACACAGTGAAAAGTACAGATACGTTAAGACTATAAACTGATTAAAACAAGGTAGGAAGCCATTATTTGAGTGTAAAATGAATGGAGGAGAAATTATACAAGAAAATCTAAGCTTGGGAAGCTACTGAAATTCATGATGAAATGTAATAGTGAGCTTCCAGGCAGACAAAGAGGGAAACAGCAAAAAAGTATTCAGGGGAGACAAATTTTCCCCACTATTAATTCTTAGAAAAAAAGTGATCATATGCATATTCCTAGTTGCCTAAATTAAGAGGTAGATAACATCTTATATGCAGTTTTTTAAAAGTAGAGATAGTCTTCATATGGCTTTGTTAACAAATATTAACCATTGATAAAATACAAACTGACCTCATGTATACAGTGACTCCTGAGGGCATTTGCATTTCTACAGTAAACTCTCATCTAAACCCTGAGATTACTCATAAAATCAACATCTATGGTGTTAGGACATGGAAGCTGATTTTGTAAGTGGGAATCTACCGTAATAATGATTTTCTGCACTTGCTTTCGCTTTGCCTGTGTAATTTCCCCACTGTGTTGGATTCAGCGTGTATTATGGCCATGTCTGGTTTTTGGAACGGGGGCTCAGAAATGGAGATAGAGCCTTGGAGAGAATGGTCCAGAAATCATTTAAACCAAGTTGTAGCTATCGTTTTAACGTCCCTTGGAAGGAGAGCTCCTTGGAATTATTTCACATCCCATCTCTCAAAAATATTTTAAAGTAAGCTTCATTAATCATTACTCGGCTGTTTCCTAGGCCTTGTCCCAAAGGCCTGGTATGCTTTAAATCCCTAGTGACACCTGCTGGGCAGACCTCAGCTCACTGCTGCGGGCTCCATCCACCTACCTCTTCTTTAACATGCAAAGCTGCAGGCCAAGAGGTAAGGGGCTGGCTCCAGCCAGTCTGCTGATGTCTC